AGAATTGTGATCTATCTATTTATCTATCTATCTATCTATCTATCTATCTATCTATCTATCTATCTATCTACCTACCGGCACACAGTTACAACCGATGGTGTCTCAGAATCGAAGAAATATGGTAAATATGCAGCTAATGCTATGACTTTATCTTTTTTGGCACCTTGGCTCTTTCATCCACCTATTCCAGCAACACCCATATGTGACATTAGGGGTTATCACATAGAATAAGGGACAGGGTTTCTGTTCTTGCAATGGTTATGTAGAAGAGATTTCAGTGAGTTCCCTCTAATATAAAACCATCAGGAGGACTTAAGTCTTCCCTTATTTCACTTGGCAGCCCTATTGGAATGGAAGGCATATTTGCCACTTTCCCATGCCCCAGTCTATCTGTTCCTTTCTGTGGAAAACAAGATGGATTGTGAGTTTTGTGTGATTACAGCCTTGTCTCTTGGGTTTGCGGTGCTTGTGGTGTTTCTTGCTGTGTATATTCTTTGCAGCCTAGGTAACAAGACATGCTGAGATCAAATTATGTCAAAGCAGCAAACAGGATTTCAATAGACACAACTTGTGATATCTGTATTTTTAAATATATTTTTTAAAATATGACTGATCCATGTGTTTTAGGGGAGAAAACAACTAATTCAACTATGAACCAACGGCCCCACTCACCTTGCAGGCGTTATGCACCAAAAGGTGTTGTCGGAATGGAATGGCAGTCCTAATGGTGACATGCATGTGTTGCATGCTTAACAGAGATCACCTTGTAAAACTGCACTGCAGAAGGCTATAGTTCCCACAGGGAGCAATAGCTGAAGAGCGTGCTAATGATCCTTACTATGTGTGTTTAATGGTGTTCTGTTATTGCCCATAAACTCTGCTGTCAAGATGGGCTACTGCAGTGTTGTGAAATTAACTCATTTGGTCATCGGCTGGGGATGGTTTATGACATGGGAGTCATTTCTCAGTCTAAACTGCAGCTTAGAGATAAGATACTTTGTTTAGTAAAATAACAACCACCACTTTCCCTAAGAGAATCTTTCTCTTTCTATATTCCTAGGGAATAGCAGACACAAAAATCCCAGGGCCAGCATCTCCTACAAGTATTCGTAGCAATCGAAGCAATCGAAGCAATCGAAGTACTTCTGTCCTTCAGGCCCCAAGCCAGATGCAGGGAACTCTTTCCCAAGGTTCCCTACATCGCAGTGTCAGCCAGCTTATTGATGTCTATGACAAAAAGTCCTTGATAGAAGATACTGTTTGGGATACCATCATTCATGGTCAAGAGAGTAGCTTGGTGAGTTCTCTGCTAGGACAGGCTGACAACCTTTCATATTAATATGCCATAAACACAGAACCCAATTGTAAGTAACAGTAAGTAAAAATACCAATAGGAAATGTCTTTTCTTGTTGTATTAGCAAACTACATCAACAGTAGCCAAATAATCCTGCTTACTATCCCTCTAGCTTACTTGTGCATGTAAAATGCTTCAATCCTATTGCTAGTACTAAGATTTATTATAATTTCACAAACAAATTTAATAGATATCTGTTCTGTACTCCTAATTTTGAAATTGTATATTTCAAAAAATCATTAATATATTAATTCATTGGAAACTCCGATAAATGTACATTTCATAATTATAGCATGGATAAAAGCATGGGTTGGTGAGGACATCTTTCTTCAAGAACAAAAATATTACATGATATAAGTCAAGATCCTGTACTTTCTTCTACTGCCTTTTGGTCCTTTATAAAATCTTCTGCACTATTACTCATTTTGCATCTCAAAGTAATAAAAGCAAGATGTTGATGATGATTTTAGAGTAACTATATATGTATGTCCGTACGTCTACGTCATATAACAACGCTAATTGTAGTTTTCTTTTTTTTCCAGTACGTGGATGATGATGATCTCGTGAATGCTATCAAAGGCTTCAGCACTGTAACTAAAGAACATACAACATTTACTGACACACATCTATGAATAGTTTTTCCACGGTTGTAGCAAATGCAAGAAGGCACTTATATTCCAAGCCATTCTGAATACATTTGCCTTATTTTGTTATTGCGATCTAATGTGCCTATTGAAACCTTACCAATATTAATGATTTCTTCAACAGCACATGCTTGACATGTATTGGTTTTTTTTAAAGATACCAAACAATTTCAGTGTTATGGAACAATATTTATAAAATGTATTTCTAGGAAAAGTTAATTCTATAGCAAATATATTTGTTTTGTTATTTTAAATGTGTTTTTGATAGGTGTCTATAAAATGAGCCAGAAACTTACTAAGTGTTGGAAATTGTGAAATTGTGACCTATAGCTTACCGGTCAACCACGGTTACTACTACAATGTGTTCAATTTTAACCAGAACCTATTAGTTTCGAGGTTTTAAAAATTCAGCTTTCTATCCGATGTTCTGTAGTGTTTGATCAGGAGACAGGGAAGTATTAATTTAAAAAGCAATATTCCTATAAAAGGCAACATTTGGGGGTCTTGCCTTCAATAGCAGCCACTTAGATCACAGGGAATCTTAAAACAGATTATGCTAACCTCTTACAACACTTAAATATGGGCATCATAATTTCACTGCTGTCCTAAAATGTTTTTAGATATTGAAATCTAGGTCTAAACCATAATTCTTATCAGCTTACTTATTTAGCTCTATCTTTTCAGGAAATATGCAGAAGTACTTATCTGAACCATATAGATGCTTCAATTTGACACATTAAGGGTGTGTGTAAACTGCAGAATTCATTATGTTTGACACAACTTTAGCTACCATGGCTCAATGCTGTGGAATCATGGAAGTTGTATTTTTGTATGGTCTTTAGATTTCTCTGCCATAGAGCGGTGGTTCATCAAACTAAAGCTTTTTACGATTCCCTAGCCATAGCAGTTCAAGTGGTGTCAAACTACATTAATTCTTCAGCAAAGATGCACCCTGAATTAGCACTATCGGTTATCCCAATACTATATTTGTGTGAGGATGCAGAAAGCAAAATTGAATTTTCAAATATGTGCTTTGAGACTTATGTGATAAAACTATGCTTTTCAATAGGAAGCTCTATCAAATTCACCTATTGATTACATAATCTCAGATAAGTATAATAGTACAGTAGTTTAAGGCTTTTAGTGGAACTGTTCTAAGAAGTCAGTAGTTTAGCTGTAATACACAAAGCACAAATGTTGTCTGGGGAAGTTATAGTCTGCTGATCTGTCAATGGATAATTTAACAAATAGCTTTCGCTCGTCTGTAGAAGGTAGTCAACTTGTCACTATTCTGATGGACATAAGCTGAAAAGATAGAGATGTCCCATTGCAGTTGTGTGCACATAACTTATATGACTAGAAATAAAATACTATCTTACCATTGAAAACTAAATACCAGTCATTGCCACAATCAGCAGGGAGTACTACACTGACATTTCTATCCATGGCACATATGCAGTTATGGTTCTGTCACAAGGACATCAGCATTTCAAGCTTGCTACAACTCATAGTTATATGCAGTCATAAGGCTCTAGCTTGGGAAGTGTAGGTTTAGACTTCAGCTATAATAAGAAACTGTTACATGTGTTGCTGAAGATAAAGCTCTCCATACCATTAGGGCATTAAGAAGAGGGGAACCAAATGCAATTTAAGCTATAAAACAGTGTGGGACTGAAAACAGTATGGATTCTACAAGTACTTTCACTACCTGATGGATGGACAACAACCTTGTGTATTTAGGACTAGATCTCTCTTTTCTAAATTTAATGGGACCTGTTTGAAGTACTAGCAGTGGCAGAAAAAAATGGACTCTTGGGCAAAGGGCAAAAATATTAAACACCAATATGTCACTTAAGAATTTTAATCATGTTTTTATACAGTTACAGTAATAGGCAGCATAATATTTAAATATAGAATTGAATGTTTTCTGTGCTTATTTGAGGAAATGTAGTATGCTAGCCAGACTGTAGGGTATTCAATAAAGGATTTTAACTTAATTTGTTTCATTTCCTGCCCTTGATTCATCTTGATCTGATATCAGTAATGCTTTGGTCAGGCAAAGTCTGGCTCAACTTTCCAGATATGAATGCTTGTATTGATTTAAGAAAAGTTTGAAATATTGCAATATATTACTTTAGCCTTTATGCCTCAAGCATGTCTTATACCTACAGAAAACCTGTTGCTATTTACTATAGCTTTCTAGGATTTGAGCTACCTTGAGCCAAACAGTCAATATAGTTTTTAAAAGTGTCATCATTCATTGTCAAAGTAGTAATTCAACTCATTTTGCATAATTTACCAATTCTTAGTATTCACAATTCCTTTACAGTCCTTAGTTCAGGGAGCTCAGACCATGAAAGGCCCATTATTCCCAGTTACCAGGAAGCAGCTGCTGGTATCTGTTACTCTTTCATTCAGAAATCAACTGATTGATGGGGGCTGAGCTGGAATTCACTTAGCAATATAACTATAGTAGCTATGCATTTCTAACTGTCCAATACTATTAGGTTTGCAAACAGAAGAAGAAAAAGGAAAGTACCATACACAGACACTGCTCTCAACTTTTATTTGTATTTTAAGGTGTATAGGTCTATTTCTACCATATAACCCTAAAAAAACCCCCAACTTTCAGTATTAATATTTGCAAGATTACTCTTTGAAAGTTTTGATTAATTACAGCAACACATTAATGTTATACTATAAATAAAATAACCTGATATGGCTGATTTGAAAACTGTGCAACTATTTGCCAGATCCAATCCTTGCTGGGAAATATCCAACAAGGTCAGTAATTTTATTCATATAGTTTGGTGATCTTCTGTGAGACTGGGCTACACAGCAAATTCTGCTAGGGGCTTCACGCTGCAGATTCTGAATGTAAGCATCCATAAAGGCCTAAAATGCCAAAAGATTAAGTACTGTTCGCAAATGCGAATGTTTTACAGGTGGGCGTGCCTAGCAATAAGTGCTTTGCATCTCATGAATAAAAGGAACACAAATATTAACTCTGTATACTTTAATATTAAAGACAAAGATATGCAAAATAATGCTTTACAGCAACCATAACCGGTAACAAGACATTTTTATATGTCAGAATTGTAGTATGATTAAATTAACAAATTGCAGCACATGATGAATGCAAAATGTATTAATGCTAGTAATGAATGTTGTGCCCCAACAGAAAAGGCAAACATAAGGTAAAGCAGCCATGCAGCCTTCTTTCCTTATTACTCCCAACACTGATACACTAAAAGTGTTAAGTGACAACTGACTGAAGACCAACAAACAGACCATTAAATATTTAGAATGAGAAGAGCCAGGAATGGAAAATAGTTAACACACAACAGAAATAACACCTACAAACAAAATGGTAGTGCATGCTAGTTTGCTTGAAATCAGAGTCTGTACCAGAACTGGACTTCATATTAATAGTTGTACAAAGTTGATACTAGTTAAGAACATTTCAAAAATGCTTCTGTTGGTTGTGCTATGAAGCCAGTTCTTTGTGTTGAATAATGCACTCCACATACTCGTATTCCACTTCAAACACGGCCCTCGGTTATAAAGTCACAGACTTACAAATGTATAAATGTAAACATTTCAGCCAGTTTAGTGTTAAAACTTGTGATATTTCTGGAATATTTATGTCCCTTTACAAGGTATAATCCTGGCAGGAAGAATCGCTTTTCTTATGCCGTGGAGAAACTGGTGTCTTTGTAGGGGATGGGGAAGCGGTACCAAGTGCTTCTGGGCCTCCTTCCACGATACTACTTGATGAAGACACCAGGTGTGGCACTTTCTTCCTTCCCAAGAATCCTCCCCCTTCAAATCCACTTTTCTTTTTATTGTCTGCTTTGACCTCAGTGTCTTCATCAGTTCCTCGTTTCTTCATCTCCGATAGATTTTCAGGTATTTTTTGAACTTCAGTGCCACTATCTGTTGTTCTAGGCGATCTCACCTCAATTGGGGAGGTTGAAACCTTTTTCTCACTTAGGTTTTCACTTATCCTCTTCACTTCCATCTGTACAGGACTCTGGTTGCCATTCTGAGGAACAGCTTTGTCTATCATAGTTTTGCTCAAATTAAAGGCCTGAATTTCCCTGTAACTATGAAAGCTTTCTGTCCTTCGTGCCCTGGCTAACAAAGGGCTTTCTCTATATGGTCGTATGGCACCGTATGTGGCAGTTTCATGGATTGTTTCCCGGTGCTGCAACTGGAGGCTGAAAACATTTTAAACATTAGGAATGGTATTAAATGCACTGTCAAACAAAAGAGATCTGAAATGCTAAAAACTTGAGTTATTTCTAATAAGGCAAAAAAAAAAAAAACAACCCTCTGATCTTATATGCCTTCTGATGGAAAGATGAGGTATAAATGGAATAAATAGATAAATGTTACAGATCTTTACATTTACATTGAACAGCCATTAATATTTTAAAATCTTCAATGCAAGAAGGAATCATCTGTCTAGAAGGCATGCATTTTACACACTTCACATAGCAACTTGCAACTATTTATTTGCAGTTAAAGTACAAAAAATGGTGGAATTTTATTAGATAAATGCATAGGCTTAAGCCTGTGCATGTCCCTTTAAGATCACTAGTTCCTCCTTCTCACAACCAACTACCACAACATACAGCCTAATTGTCAGTTGATGGTGCACACCCTACTTAGTCATGCAAGGGGGAAGAGGGGCATTCAATATACCGGCCTAATTTAAGTATGGAGTATTGCTGTGGCTAGAAAAGTCTAGGTATATGTTTTCTTTGTGCGTTTGGCTCAAATTCAAACCCCCAGCTGTGGAGTGAGCATATATTGATAGTGAACAGATAGAGGCAAGAGTGGATACTTAAGAATGGATGCTTATGCTTCTCCAATCAAATGTCAAATCTTGGTCAGTGTTTGGCATCTGTGGGATGCATTCTAATTTAAGGCTAGTACAAAAATAAAGCTTTGCCAGTATATTTACATTAAAAACCCAAGGAAGAGAATGGTAGTTTAACAAATGTCTCCTGGTTCTCCCTTAGAATCATAGAGTTGGAAGAGACCTCATGCACCATCCAGTCCAACCCTCTGCCAAGAAACAAGAAAATCACATTTAAAGCATCCCCAACAGATTCAGCCTCTGTTTAAAGGCCTCCAAAGAAGGAGCCTGCGCCACAGTCTGGGGCAGAGAGTTCTACTGCTGAACAGCTCTCACAGTTAGGAAGTTCTTCCTCATGTTCAGGTAGAATCTCCTTTCCTCTACGTATCCCCTAATCAATGGCCTTTTGCAAGGGAGGCAGTAGAGCTGACTCTGGTGCCATCTAGTTCTATTCTGCAGCCTGAAGGAAACATTTGTGAAAGGAAATTCTGGTATAACTCTGGCTATATTATCATAAAGTCACCAAGAGTATTCCAGCAATAAAATATCATTCTGAGAGCCTTGCCTGAAAATGTTAAAACTTAAGATAAAAGAATGAAAATATGGAGTTATGAACCAATGTATACTTGCACACATAGTATTCATACAAAGGTGTTACCTAGAATTTGATTCACGCAGTCGACTTTGCTGCACCACTGAAGTGGCTGGGCTGATGTTGGGAGTTGCACAGCGAGATGTGCTTAGATCACACTGATCTAAAAGCTTAAGCAATTCTTCTTCAGTAGGACCTCCCACATCTTTAAGAAAGAAATAACAATCAGAGTATTAAAAGGGAACATACCAATGTACTTTGAGTCCAAGAGTTACAACTGACCACATTACATAGTCCAGACAGAATAACATTTGGCTTTAAACTATAGGATTAAATTAAAAAAAATTAACATATAAGAGACAGAGGACATAGTATAGAATGGAAAACAGTATTTTGAGCGTTCTGAGGGTGTTTACTATATCAACACAACTACCTTTTTCTTCACTTTTATTAACCATATCCATTGCTGTGGTCAGGTCCCACATCTGAATACTGCCATTCACATGCCCTGTGAAGAGGTAGCGTCGGGGCCTTGAGCCCATCCTACTAGATCCTTCACATTCACGTACAGTGAATGCTGAAATTGTAGTACAGTCAACCGCCTGAATTTCACATATCCTGTATGAAATAAGAATAATTGCACATTAGTCACTGATTTCAAAAACAGCCTCAATTAATATTCTTCATATAGTAAAATATTGCATATTGATATTAAATCAGATAATACAATAATAACATTTAGTTTTGATAAAGACTATCCATGTGGCACAGGTACTTAGTATTTCCCTTTCAAATTCATTTAATTTAGTGATCTGAAGAACATGCCACAGACAGTAGATTCTTTAAGATACTTTTGTTTTTTCCTTATCCAAACAGACAAGGCTTTCAAGTTTTGTATGTAAACTAAGAATTGGATGAAGTCCCTGTGGTAATTCTGTAAGAGCCCAAGTTCATGAAACTCAGTGAGCCAAAGAAAGAAAACCATTTCAATGTATCCATAGGACAATATACTGTGTCCATCCTATACTTGTTGCAGCATGCCTTAAAGTGGTTTCAACTAATAGCAACCCCAAGGTTCCCCTATATGGGCAAGATTCACCTTCCTCTGAGCCCGACAGAGCATGATCTGCTTAAAGTGACCTCTTAGGTTTCAATGGCAGGGCAGGAATTTTAATCCTCAACTCCAATCGTAATCCAATGCTCAAACCACTACACCACGGTGACTCTCTTACACTCTTCTATTCCCAAAACATTTAAAGAACAAAATAAAGAGACAGAATTGTTGTGGTGCTTTCATTCATTTTATACCTTCAACTATATTGGAAATTCCATAACCGATTGGAAGTAAGTGCACCATAACCTTATTGAAAAGGTAAAAATGATGTCACATCCGTTTTGCAAATGTGAATCTCCATGAACATGTGGAGACCATACTTTGAAAACCACTATTCAAGAAAAGCATGACATTGTTAGAAGTCAACTCTTTGAACAAGTGATATTCATAAGCATTCACGTAATGGCAAACAGGTAACTCAGCTGTTAAACTGAAGAAGCATGTCTTCAAACTGCCAAGGATAAAGACATGCCACTACAAAAATATATTTGGTTAGCAAGGGATGGTTGTTTCTTTGAAGCTGAAATTTGCAATTGCCCTAAAGATATACACTCCCTTGAAACCTCTTAGTTTAAAATATGCACTCAGAGATAAAAGAACCCCCAAAAGTCTTCTTTGAAAAATAATGTATCTTGTTTACTCATAAACAACTTGAGTTAATTCACCATGCAGGCACATTTCTTATTAAGGTTCAGTTACAGATAAGATTTTCTTCCCTGTGTTGAGTACACATCATTTTTAAATCAATGGTCCATAGTCTTTAAGTATAGCTGTACTTACTGAAATCCGTTAAGTCATACTTCTCCACTAAAGTCTCTAATGTTCGAACAGCAACCATGCATCTACCTCCAGTGAGGTGTAAAGCAGATACTGAATACAAAATGGAATCCTGAGTCTGAACATGTTCAGTACAATCACATATCTATAACCCCTCCCACACCAAAGAGGTAAACCAAACTGGCAAATCAACATACACAAAGAATACAGGTTAGCAAACATATATATTAACAAATCAATAGTGAAAGGCTTGGGAGGTTGCAAACTAGAATTTCAAATAAATCAACAGGACTCCAATCCTGTTGTAGTTCTTCCCTAACTACTGCAGGAAGCCTTGAGAGAGACTCAAAGGGGCAAGAATCTGATCTGTATAAAATGATTGTGCAGCTGACTAGATCATGAGCAATTTAATTGTTTTACTGTTTGAACAGCAGGATAACCAGGAACTCAATATGCAAGCAAAGGTCCTTTTTTCCCTATCCCAATTGTGGGTGAGTAGTAATAGAATTCTCCATTTCGATGCCAGAATACTTTTTACTCCACCAGCATTTTGCTGGATCTCAGCCAAAGTGTTCTCTTAATTATCTCATCCACAACATATTCTAAAAAGAAACGTATTATCCAGCCTTATGTGACAAAGTCCAGGACAATGGAAGCTTAGTAATGGGTCCATATTTTTTAAGGAACAGTTAATTGTCTCACAGAAGCTCAGAAGGAGATGCTTAAGAAAAGATGTGTACCATCTGAATGCACCCACTGCAAACTGCTACCATGGGAACAGATTACTAACACAATTATTTTCCAGGACAAAATGGGTATACGTGAATTCAGATTTAATTAACATGTAGAAGGTGCAGGTTGATTAAACTATGCCTGCAGTAATCAAAGAGGAGAAGGAGAACAGAAAGAGTTCAAAGTTCAACAAGCTTTGAGTTATTACGTTAAGGTTTGCCCTAATACAACACCAATTTTAATAAACATGTGGCAGTTTCTTCCTGTGTATGTAAAGAACATTAAATCATAGTGATTTATAACATTTATTGGGATGATAATTTGGCCTCCAACCATATTACAGGCTTCTAATGTTATTTGCTTAAAAACAAACAAGCTGTCAAAGTGATAATCTAGGTGCTTGGAAAATGTACTCTTGATTAATTTCTCTAACAGTTGCCTATGATTGTACGTAATGAACTTTGATGCAAAGAAGATTGATTCTCTTAAAGACTTTTATTCATTACAAGATTAAGCAGGAAGAAACAAGAGGCTGTGTGTTGTAGAATCAGTGTGCTGGTGAACCGCTATTAGCATCCATAGTTGCACTAGAAGTTTCAATTTTAGAACAGTGCTATTTTCTTTAAGTAGTGCCCAGGGCTTTCAAAAACACTTTAGCTGCTGTTTCCACATCTTTGGATTTCATTTACTTTTAAATGGCCAGGCAACATATCATATTTTTTAATGAAAGGTAGCAATACACACTAGCATATGGGACGAACAGAAGAGAGCTCTAAAATAAGGGATATAATTAAATGGCCATTAAAAAAGTGAAAGTTAAAAGCAATCCTGCCTGTAGGTAAACTATGGTTGTAAAATACAAATTTTACTATTATGAGATAAGCCAAGACTCAAATTGATTCTTTGTCCTTCTATATCCTTGCTTCCAGATTCTCAAATACTTAAATGTTTAGTTCTCTGCAACATTTTAGACAGGCAAGCATATGTAAAGGTCACACAACATCACAACTCTAGGCTCCAAAAATTAGAGTACTATGACAGCCATCCATTTTACCTCAACAAATGACAAGAAACTATTGGCTGAAGGGAAAAGGCAAAATGAAGAAAACATTTGGGAATTATATTCAGAATCTAGAGGTGATAAATATTATTATCCAATTACCCAAGCTTTTGATATGTATGTTTAGTAACAGAACAAATAATCTATGGCGATATCCTTGTCTGACAAGACTTTTACTCTAGAATGTCTTTAAACAATACAATATTTATTTATTTATTTGTTTGTTTATATCTTGCTTTATCTCTCCATATGGACTCAAAGCGGCTCACAATCAAAAACATTACTACTTAAAATAAACAAATATACAATAATAAAACAGGATATCATTATATGTTATTATATATTATCACTAGTAATTATATTTAATATATTAGTATTATATTGTATATATTATCAATATTATATGTATATACAATATATTATATTTAGCATAGCACAATTAGTATTATATATTACTATATTGTACTATACCACTATACTGCAATATTATTAGTAATATTATATGTAATATATAATATACAATTATTATATTATTATATATTATTATATTGTACTATATCAGTATACCACTACATATATATATATATATACACACACACACACACACACACACACACACACACACACACACTAGAAGTATATTATACTATTACCATTATATAATATATTGTACTATATAATAAGTTGTAGTATATATAACATAGAATATATTATATTACATTATTCATGTCATAGATAATATATTAGTATTATTACATTACAATGTTATTATTTCTATATACTATTATATTGTATATATTGAGGTGCTCCTGAGTGATGCTGCAGGAGACACCATGGAGCTGTGTCTTCCTGGCTGCCCCTTCTTCACTCTGTGGCCTCTAAACTTGAACTTCAATAGAATCAAGCCCAAGATGTTATAATATTGCTAATCAAGAACAACTTTTGATGTGGGAACAATTCTCTAGAATCAACTGTGTCATATGTTTGGGATAATACTCTTGTTAAAAGCCTTACAGTGTAAATGTAACAAAAGCTTGCTTTATAATTAACTTTGTCCTTGCCCTTTATGATGGTGCTTCACTGTGATTCTGTTGCTTACCTTTTTCCTGTAGAAGACAGCCTTACAAAGAGTTTGTTAGTGATGGGAACAACTTTTTGGATAAACACCTGTTGATCATCACGCTCACCGAATGGCCCTGTGATGGGAAAGCAAAAGAAATAAAAGGTTTTTCATCATTCAATATAATGTTCTCAACACTTTCTCAGCCCCATATAATGCAGTACTTGATATATTAGTGCCATGGAATACTATGTATGTATTTCCTTTTTTTCCCCCTAGGGCAGCCTTATAATGCATCTTCTAGAGCAGAGGTAGGGGAAGGATAGCTCTGGGCCATCCAAGGTTGTTTTTGCGGCTCTCAAACTTTCAATTTTTCCCAAACTAACCCCTTTCTGGCTAAAAATGGTTTCACTGTCGCTCCTGAAAGCCCATTGAGCAGCAATTTAGCCTCTGCAAACATTGCCAGGACCTTTGTATGGTCTAATATTTAAAAAATAAAAGGTGTGTGTGTGTGTGTGTGTGGAGGGGGGGGTGTTAATAGTTCAAAACCAGAAATAGATTTCCATCCAGTTCAGGGAGTTGTTTTTGACAGTCTGTACTGCTACTGAAAGACCACATAAGCAGAAAAGTGGTCCTTGAATCTGCTGTAGTTGCTCACCTTTATCTTAAAGATTGCTTTCCCTACAATGTGTGTTAGGCGAGTGAGAAATGAATCCTTATGTCGCAAAGCCTGAAGTACCAACTGTATGGCATTGGCATTGCTGCATCTTTTCAACAATTCTATTAGTAGTTGGATGGAGAATCACCAGAAATCTCCAAACAGGTTTAGAAGAATTCCTGCCTGAAACCCTGGAAACCAATTGCTATCAGTCATGGTTGACAACGCTCGATTAGATAAACCAATAGTCTTACTTAGCAGAAGCCAGCTTCTAATTTCTTTTCTCATCTCTCTTCCTCTCTACATCACTGTACATTGTGCCTGGGCTCCAGTGACTGGTGAAATCCATCTCCGCAACTGCCATTGTTCTGGTCTTTGAGGGACACAAGAAGCATCCTGCATCTGATGACTTTCATCTCCTTCCTCCTGACATTCCACATTTACTTGTGTGTCCTGTCTTACTTAAACTGTAAGCCAGAGGAAACTACCTGTAAGCCACTTTGGGAACTTTTTTGGCTGATTGGTAGGGTACAAATACTTCAATTAAAACAGAAATGTCTAATTAAAGAATGGGATAGTTACATTTACATCAACTACCTATATCATTTCCTGAAGAATAACTTCCATGACTCTCAGTCTCCTCCAAGGACAAAATTTTAAATGATGCCAAAGGAGTCGATCCTGGCTGTGTTGAAATCATCCCTCTGAAACGAGTCACTGTCCATGTCCGAACATGATTGTTATCTGCACAAACTGGAAAGAACATACGTATAGACATTATGTGTATACACACACACACGCACACACACACAAAAGATACAGCAGTTTGTCGTTCTAATCTATTCACTTCACTTCACTTTATTTCTAATCTATTCACTTCACTTCACTTTATTTATTTAATCTATTCAAAGATTTTGGTCTTCTGGTGCTTTCAAGTGCTGACAATAAATCTTCTGCACAACTCTAATGTGTGGATCTCCAACTATTTTGAATAACATGTCTATATGAACCTCAGAGTAGCTAATGATCATGAATGATGGGAATTTTAACCCAAAATATTGGAGGTAGATGAAAAAACTGGTAAAGTTCTTTACTTTTATTTATTAATGAACGAGTTAGATGCCTTTTCACAAAATAAAGCACTAAATGTGGCTAAAATTAAGGTTGTTATAAGTATTTGAATAGGAAATAACATGAAAGCCATATAGCTATTTTCTGAGTGATTTAAGCAGAAAATACTGTACTAGAATCTGATAAAAAAACAGAAACAACTGTTACTCTCAAGATTATTCTACAGATTGTTTTAATGTTTGTGCAACATATTAGAACCTGCAGCAGCACAATCTATATTTGGATCGGAATACAGATTGTGATGCTGTAGAGAAAAATAAGAGTAAAATAAAATACTATACAATTAGGAACAAAACAAAGGTTAACATTTTAAAATTCCAAAATGCATATACAAAAAAATGGCCTTTCTACATTTAATCCTACAATGTGTACCACTCTCTGCACCACTGATTTACTCATTCACACATCCATTCACTCTGCCCCAGGCAACCCAACTGTCAGCAAAACATGTTTCTCAGTGACTATCAACACCACATTTATATTTGTTGTTTGTTCTACTATATCACCACTGTAATAGTTACTTTCTTCTAAAGTTTACCTCTATGGCCATTTATTTTTCCTGAGCTTCCACACCAGCCTCACTACAAGGAGAATGGACTTTTATCTGCTACGGTGTATGAACTCAATACTTTGTTGTTTTTCTTTGTAACTTCAGAAATGTGAAGGGGTGCACAAAATCAAGCAGGAATGCTAGGGAGTCACCATGATTCCAGCAAGATTACCTGACACAAGATGTTTCTCAGACAACATGATCTTTGTAACGGGGCTTCGATGAACAGTGAAAGTCTGAAAGAGTTGAGGGCCTGAGCCAACTGTTTCTGGGTGTTGCACAATTACACGCACTGCTCCCGAACTTGTGCCATATGCAATTTCAATCCAATTGCCACTTACACCTATGCCAGAAAGAAAACAGGTTTCAGTACAATACATCTTTTTCCAACATAGTTTTGAGCTGCTCAGTGCCCCTGTATAATAGATTAGATACTTACACACAACTTCTACACTCTTTAGAATGGTTTCTGACTTGTTTTTCTTAACATATGTATACTAAAAATGGCTTTTCCTCACACTGTAGTAACAAAGTATTAGTGACTACAAATGTTCAGTAACAACATCATTACAATCAGTAAATAAATACTTGCACGGCATGACCAGAAAAATAAAAGCTTACTCTTAAAACATGGAATTATTTGCCTTCTCATATTGAATAGCTGGACATTGCTATGCTAAATTAAAGAACATATGACCTCAAGTTTTATTATTTAATAAATTTATTTATTATTTAATAAATTATACTTTTAAAAAAATCTAGATTTGTATGAAGTAGAAATTTGACAATTAACGTATCCTTGTTTTTTTATAAGTGCAATAAACATTTTTAAACTGTATCATATTTACACTTGTCAACAGAAAAAGAAATCCAAAGACAACATTTACACCTTGTAAGAACTGATGAACATAGTTAATTAACACTGCATAGTCCCTAACAAGTACACGTATTGTGTGAAGGCAGTGTTTATGAGCAAACAAGGAAAATATGCTTTTCTTTCCATACTACAGTTGTGAAATGAAACTTCAAATTAAAACTTTAGATTTCTAATTACAAGATAAGACTAGAAAGGTGCTCCATACAGTATAAGACATTAAGAGCTCAAAATAGTACAAACTTGTTTTTGGTGTAAGGTAAACACTAAGTGCTGTTATGGCGTCATTGGAAGGATCATGATAAAGTTCTGTCACCAGAAGATCATTATCCTTCATCCGTAATGGAAATTTTTGCATATCTGTGAAGTAAAAGATATAAAAGTTATTTTACAATGATAAACTAAAAAAAGAAGATGATTTTAATACCTTCTCAGAATAACCGGAATAATTGCTGTAATAAACAGAAAGGAATATCTATCTATCTATCTATCTATCTATCTATCTATCTATCTATCTATACACATACATACATACACACTAGCCATCCCCTGCCACGCGTTGCTGTGGCCCACATGACTCTTCTGTGTGGGAGTTTTGGCCCAATTCTATCGGTGGGGTTCAGAATGCTCTGTGATTGTATGTGAACTACAAATCCCAGGAACTACAACTCCCAAATGTCAAGATTTTATTTTCCCCAAACTCCACCAGTGTTCACATTTGGACATATTGAGTATTCGTGTAGATTTTGGTCCAGATACATCATTGTTTGAGTCCACAGTGCTCTCTGGATGTAGGTGAACTACAACTCCAAAACCAAAGGACACTGCCCACCAAACCGTTCCAGTATTTTCTGTTGGTCATAGGAGAACCGTGTGTCAAGTTTGGTTCAATTCCATCATTGCTGGGGTTCAGAATGCTCTTTGATTGTACATAAATGACAAATCCCAGAAACTACAACTCCCAGTCAATTCGTCCAGTAGTTTTTGAGTTATGTTAATCCCACAAACGAATATATATGGAAAGAACACAGAACAACAAAATCCTCTTGTATTGTTACATGCTGATTTCATATATTTTGTAAAACTTAAGCTCCTGAAACCTGAATAGTAAAGGCCTAAGTTTATCTGTTTAAAACAAAAAACATGAATGCTTGCCGATTAAATACCATAATATTAAGAGCATAGCTATCTCCATGTAGAAACCCAACATAACTGGAAACAATGTGATCAAGGGGAAAATATTCTGAATAGAAAAAGCTTATAATCAACCTGAGAATATGTACATTGGTACAAAAGGGTATGGCTAATATATGATGGTTGATTAATCTGTTCACAGGTAACCAAGAAACTGGCTCCACAAGTGAAGACCAGTAAGAGTTCAGTTTGGTTGAATGGGATGTAATTGTTTATGCCCTCAAAGGTCAGTAAACATCTCCCTCTGATTAGGCAAATAGGCTGGAGATACTCTTGGGAAACAAGTGTCAAACTGATGAGTCAGCTTTCCACAAGGATGTAACTGATGTTGATAATGCTGTTCTTGGTTTTGAACCAAGTGTTGTTCTATCTGTTGTTAAATACAGTCAACATCAGAGATGATCGTATGCCCTGAAAAATGTCTGTCTAGAATATACCGCTGATCCCAAGATAGAGGCCCAGGTGACTACCAGGTGGTGATGAGAGGTACACAAATATATATACTTTACTAACTTAGGCAATCCCCCATAGCTTGAGCATGATAGTCTTCCAGATGTGGTGTCTTAGCGCTGGGTCCGTAGGTGGCTGTGGAGCCCTATTCTTGATCCAAATGTTTTCCCGCAGTGAGGACATCGGTTTCCAGACGGAAGATGGTCCGAGTCAAGGTTAGCTTGATGCGCCTCCCTCTTGGCACTTTTCTCCCTTTCACCCTCTATTTGTGCCTCTTCAAATTCAGCAGCACAGCTGGTCACAGCTGAACTCCAGTTGGAGTGCTCAAGGGCCACGGCTTCCCAGTTCTATGCCACGGTTTTTAAGGTTGGCTTTAAGCCCATCTTTAAATCTCTTTTCCACCAATCTTATGTTTCCCGTTCTTGAGTTCAGAGTAGAGCAACTGCTTTGGGAGATGGTAATCAGGCATTCTGACAATGTGGCCAGTCCAATGGAGTTGATAGCGGAGGAGCATTGCTTCAATGCTGGTGGTCTTTGCTTCTTCCAGCGTGTTGATCTTTGTCTGCTTGTCTTCCCAAGAGATTTGCAGGATTTTTCGGAGGCAGCACTGATGGAATCGTTCCAGGAGCTGCATATGACTTCTGTAGACAGTCCACATTTTGCAGGCATATAGCAATGGCTTTATAAAGAAACACCTTTGTCTCCCTACGGATGTCCCAATCCTCAAACACTCTCTGCTTGATTCGGAAACACATCCCTGTTTTGACACCTGATTCCACCTTAAATGGGACACTTTGGGAGCTATTGCTGTCCAGGACTGTTGCCATCATGTCATCATGGAGGAGCCGCAGGATGTTCACAAATTTGTTAGGGCACCTGATTTTTTGGAGGATGGTCCAGAGAGCACTGTGATTCACTGTCTTGAATGCTTCTGCGAGGTTAATGAATGCCATGTACAGAGGATGATTTTGTTTCCTGCATTTTTCTGGGATTCTGGGAGGGTGTCTTCTGTTCTTCCCCCCCCCCCTTTTTTTTTTTTTTTGAAAAGGATGATGATGGTGACATCTTTGAAGTCTGCTGGGATTTTCTTAGTCACCCACACTTTTTCAATGAGCTGGTGGAGTTGTTGTGTCAGCTCAGGTCCACCCTCCTTTAAGATTTCAGCAGGGATCCCATCAGGTCCACTGGCTTTGTTATTTTTTTGTTGGCTGATAGCATTGCTGACTTCTTCCAAACTAGGCAGTGCTGCAAGCTCATTCCTGGTTTGTTGTTGCGGAATTTGTGAGACAACCTCTTCAGCCACATTGGAGCTGCAATACAGGAGGCTTTTGTAGTACTCTTTCCAACATAGTGCCATTGATTTTTTGTCCTTCAGAAGTTTGGTTCCATCTGATAAGCATAGAGGGTGTATGCCATGGTTTCTTGGTCTGTAGATGACCTGTCCAGCAGTCATCAACACCTGTCATTGCTCTTGTGAAACGGATGTTGCAGCTGTCTCTAGAATGTGTAATTACATAGTCTAAGAGGTGCCAATACTTTGACCAAATTAGGTGACAAATGGCCAAAAAACATTCTCCCTTGATCCCTCAATCTAAACACTGGGGAGCCGTATCCAATATTATGTTGTGCATGGAGCACTTGATCTTACCAATGTAATATATGGAGCCGTTGTTGCAGCCCAGCAATAGGAATGATCCAGCAGTATCATAACTAGTGATAGGAACAACATCCTGAACCTAAGATAAATAAAAGGTAACTAATGAATTGAAAATTACATTTTACATAAGATTTCAATTTCAATCATGCTAACATATGATTTCACAATGTATCCAATTGCTAGTCCTAAATGAGTAGACCAATTAAATTACTAAAGTCTACAGAAAAGCTACCTTACAATTCAGCAAATGATTCAACAAGTCAATTCTAATAGGAACTAGAAATTTAATATTTTCCTATTTCAAGTAAGGACAATTTTCTGTTTCATTTAAGCAAGTTAAAGACAGTGTATAAATTCCAATGTATATGGTGACCATCCTACAATTTTTATGAATCTGGGAAGTATGTGTTTTGCCATACCCTAAAAACAGCTATTTCTCTTTTCAAGATACAATAACTTGAGCTTATCTTACAGCAAGGTAATTGCAGAAGGCCAATGCAGTTCATAAAAACGAAACAAAAAAAAACTTACATGTGGCAATTCAACCACTTTTAGAAAGTTCCATCTTTAAAGTACATGATAACCATCATAACAAATTATCAAAACACAAAGGGCTAACTGTTCTTTGATATACAGGTTCATTTCCAAATAATAATCATGTAACACCAGTTATCCACAATAGCATCTGGGTATAATAGTGCATTTGTCATATTAAACAGTGTTTATCAAGGTGTCATTAGCAAGAAATTTGTCAATGCACGATGAAAAAATATCATCAAGTTAATGTCTTAGATGTTTTGAGTCTCCTTGTGGAGAGAAAAAGGGGTATAAACAAACACCATAATATGGAGTTCTCTTCTTTTTCAATTTAAATTCTACCAGTTTTCAGACTAACAACATTTAAAACAAATACGCTGCTATCTTTTTCTTTTCTTTTTTTTTCAAGGGAGTTTATTTCTGGAGAGGACCATACTACTAGTTGAAACATTTAGTTAAATCCACAGGAACAGTATTTTTTTTAAAAGCCTGTTAGTGTCCATGCATCATGAATGCTTCCCACTTTTTCCAAATTTCTCTCTTCCAACACAATTTATCCGGCAGTTTATAAACTAACAATTACATTTAAATAATATATGGCCTAAATCCAACATTACATTGCTTCCTAACTTTCCATTACATTGCTTCCAACTTTCCTCTCCTCCCCATTTCCTAAACAAGCAGGCTGCAGCATTTTCTAGCTCTCCAGAGCATGTTTTGAGGAAACGTGGGCTGCAGGGAGAAGCAGATAGTTTGTGGAGAAGAGAAAGGGAACCTAATGGAACAAGGAAGGAGAGCCAAAGTGTTTGAAGATATTAACTTGAATAAGTATCCCATGCATAAGCAGTAAAACATCAAATAAACTGCATCATGCATCTCCTTTGCATTCCTCTTTCTTTCTACCAAAATCCTACTTTCAGTTTCATTCTACTTTTTGTACCTCTGATTAACCAGTTGGCATATTTGTTGATTTAGCAGTTAACAAATGATTCGAGTATTGTATTCTAATTGGAGCTAATCAATGTCATTCAAGCTTATGTGCCCATTAGTAGAAGGCAGAAGCTCTAGTTATATGTTTATGACTTCACTTGGAATTTTCCGAACAATATAAAATTATGTAAGAGGAGTGCATTAGGCATTAGGTAAACAACATAGAAATACAGGCGAAATTAGCTGAATAGTTCCTAAAATAGTATCAAAATAAAGATTGCCTTCTTATAAATGCTTCTAGAGTTTTCAAGGGATGGCAACAGAGCTCTTAAGAAATTTAGCTATCATTAGTTTCAAACCTATTAGGCTAGCTTCCAATGCAAAACAGAATGATTGTATTATGATACTTGGCTTTCTGCATTCTCATAGCATTGCTCATTGACATGACTGTCACTTATGGGCAAAATCAGGATTTATTCAACCAGTGCTGTGGCAGCCACAGAGTCAGCCTAAGGTCACTTCTGCCTCTTGAGATTTGCAAGACAGCCTCCTGGATTTCATTACACAGCGTCTTTACATTGTACCATAAAGACATTCATCTGGCTGTGTTACAAGTTTGTTTCTTGCATGAATGCCCAGCATTTCCCTTAGCCTTGTCTAGAATCCAAGATTCTCTATTCCCATTGTCAGAATGTATAATATATAAAAATCACAGGGCATTTCAGAATAGAAATAGAAAATACGTAGATATCTTTGAGGTACCATGTACAGTACATAACTGAAAAAGTTTGACAGGATGACTAATTCTAAATATTTGTAAGATCAACACAGAGTTAATTTGCTTAACAACTAAATACTAGGTTTGTTCTGACTTGGAATTAAGTGAAGTGATCATTTGTAAAATGAAGAACAACCAAAACACAAGAAGCAATAGGGAAAAAGAAACAGCATTTCAATAAAGAAAGGGCATATAAACATTTATTACTAGTAGAGTTCTGAACATTGGATTTCAACCCTGGAGAACTTCAGAAATGGAAACCCTAGACTTCAGCCATGGAAACCCTAACAAGCCTTTGGAGAGGTTTTATTTTAAGGTCACTATAAGTCAGTGGTTCTCAACCTGGGGGTCGGGACCCCTGGGGGGGGCCGCTAGGGGGTGTCAGAGGGGTCGCCAGAGACCATAAAAAAACACTATATTTTCTGTTGGTCATGGGGCTTCTGTGTGGGAAGTTTGGTCCAATTCTATCATTGGTGGTGAACTATACATCTCAGCAACTACAACCCCCAAATGTCAAGGTCTATTTTCCCCAAACTCCACCAGTGTTCATATTTGGCCATATTGAATATTCATGCCAAGTTTGGTCTAGCTCCAACATTCTTTGAGTCCACAGTGCTCTCTGGATGTAGGTGAACTACTACTCCAAAACTCAAGGTCAACGCCCACCAAACCCTTCCAGTATTTTTTGGTGGTCACAAGAGTTCTGTTTGCTAACTTTGGTTCAATTCCATCATTGGTGGAGTTCAGAATGCTCTTTGATTGCAGGTGAACTATAAATCTCAGCAACTACAACTCCCAAATGACAAGTCTATTTTCCCCAAACTCTGCCAGTGTTCACATTTGGGCATATTGAATATTTGTGCCAAGTTTGGTCAAGCTCCATCATTGTTTGAGTCCACAGTGCTCTCTGGAAGTAGGTGAACTACAACTCCAAAATTCAAGGTCAACACCCACCAAACCCTTCCAGTATTTTTTGGTGGTCACGGGAGTTCTGTTTGCCAACTTTGATTCAATTCCATCATTGGTGGAGTTCAGAATGCTCTTTGATCGTAGGTTAAATATAAATTCCAGCAACTACAACTCCCAAACGACAAAATCAACCTCACCAGTATTGAAATTTGGGTGTATCAGATACTTGTGCCAAATTTGGTACAGTATATACATCCTGCATATCAAATATTTATATTACGATTCATAACAAAATGACAGTTATGAAATAGCAACAAAAGTAATGTTATGGTTGGGGGTCACCACAACATGAGGAACTTTATTAAGGGGTCACTGCATTAGGAAGGTTGAGAACCACTGCTATAAGTCAAAAACAGTGTGAAGGTACACAAGAAAAGCCATATAAAAATGACAGCCCTTTTTGGAACCTCATGGAACATATTGCTTTGAAGTATTTACATGTAACATACCTGCCAGTGTTGAGTCACAGCATTCCATACTCCCACTTTTCCTGTATGACTAGTAGCCACCAACTGGTTACCAATAAAGAACAGAGCATCTACTGGTACTCCAAGACTAAATATCCCTATAAGAAAACATATGCACAACATCTTAAAGGAACTATTAAAACTGTTTTGAGAATAAATGCTATCAAGGAACACAAGGAAAAGGCACATATTAGAAAAGAATAGCATTTTCATAATCTTAAAAAGAGACAAGAAAACTATTCATACGTTTTCTCTTCAGCATTGCATAACAATATCCTATGAACTGCAGTTTACTTAATGTGGAATTTGGCAACAGCATCAGCCATGTCTACATACAGACCAAAACAACTCCTCCATTATGAAGTGAGATAACAAGCATGAATTCAAAAGGTATTATTTGCATACTTCATTCTGTCAGTCCACAATAACCACACACCACTTTTTTTATACCTTAAATAATCCAAATCTAACAGTACATTTAAACTGACATGATTATCAACACCCAACTTTTCTTCTACTTCCATTGTTACAATTGATGATCTTGTGCCAGTTTTTTAAAAATGATGTTGACTGTCCAAATTGAAGTAGAAACTTAAGGTGACTCAGCTTGAGACTTCCCATTTTCAGACTCTTTCTCACAGAAGAACAGCACGTGATAAACGAATTCAAGTACACGCAAGCCTTCTCCAGTTATCTATGGCACTAAATTATCTATGGATTTTAATCAGATTTGTGACACAAACTGTCAAGTCAATTAGTTGATTATTAACTTCTTGACTTGAAAGACTCTTGTGCTTTTCCAAGTTTATTTTCTGAGTGTGATTTGACAGAATGCTTGCCAACTACATCCATCAAATCAGAATAAGCTTACAGTATAATAAAAGCAGCATAAAAGCACAACAATGCTGCCAAGCAAAATGGTTCCTTTATACAGATTACTGTAATTTCATTATAATTCTACTTAGGAATTAATTAATCCTGCAGGAAATAATAATGCATTTATAGCAATACTTACATCAAAAGCTCTACAAAACTCTTCTGAAGACCCTTCAGGTTTTCAGAATTAATGAGGGAAGAAACAGTGATATTAAGAACCAATCTGATATTTTTAAGTGGAGAATGGAAATTGCTATGTTTTCCGATAGCAGGCAAGAAGCTTGGTGCATAAAGTGATTTAATTACAATGCCAAATAATTTTTCAGGGCATATGATCATCTCTGATGTTGACTATATTTAACAACAGGGCACATAAAAGGAGGCAATAATAAAAAGGAGAGAAACAACTAGAATTGATTACTCTGGAGAAGGACGAGGTTCAGGGAAATCAAGGAAGACAGCGTGAATAGTCTGAAGGAATTTAAAGTGTCACTCCTGCTTAGGCTCAACAATCCTGATGGCCGTCCACAGGGAAGACGATGGTATAAGTAATGACAGGTTTTTGTCTTAAGGGGCCCTCTCAGTAAAATATTGCTTATAGCAGCAATCCAGTAGTGGTATCTTATGTAAGTAATATTGAAAGGAAAACAGCCTCTGGGAGAGCTCTATCATGGAGATGCCAGCTCTTGCAATTTTCCATAGATGGTGTTGTCAGCTTCTGAAGAGTGTTTGTAACAACAAATTGTTTCTTTTACAGGACATGAACAAAGCACTACTTCTCTATCCCAAGGCAGAGCGGCTGACATTAGCCTCAGCAAGAGAAACGGCCCTGTAAAGTTATCTGAACAAGAACAGCCTTGCCTATTTAGTAACTAAAACTACAAATAGGTTGATGTGTATTAATTTCAATATATCATTTTAGTGTGTTGTATAGTACAGCTAGAGTACATCAATATGCTTATCATTTACTTAATTTAACTTTGTGCCACTTGAAAGGATGTTTCTTGATGAAGAATTTTCATGTCTTAACTGTGATCAAGGTGAGAAAGAATGTTTTATCTTATTTTCTCAGTTCAGTACTGATTGCCTTATCAGCAATTAAAATTAAAATGGTTTCTGCTGTGTAACTTTGGTGATGCCAGTCACAATTATTCATATAGACTGCATTTCCTTGTCTTTCACTACCTATGTTTTTAGTTCTCCTTTGCCCCCTTCTACACTTGAGATTGTTAGTGTTTCCAGACTCCCGAAATGACCTCATATGCTGTCCCAGTTGAAAACTAATATTCAACTATGAGTAATATGACTCACACAGAGAGCACATGGAAAGGTAAACTAGACATATGTGAACAAGTAAGCAAGAGCAAAAAGAGGGAAATAATCCCTTATTTATTTTGAGGTAACTACAAAGTCCCCACACCAGTCCCCGCAACTCAAGCTACCAAAGGGGTGTGTGTGTGGGGGGGGGGGGGGTCTTAATGTCCCTTCCTGTTCATATAGGTTTATTTGAGAAGGCAAACTATTCCTTCTGTTATTTGATAGTCTGGGCAGCATAAAATAAAAAACACATTTAAAAGAGGGTTGCTGTGCGTTTCCCAAGCTGTATTGCCATGTTTCAAAAGCATTCTCTCCTGACATTTCACTCACATCTATTGCAGGAATCCTTAGCGATTGTGAGGTCTGTTGGAAACTAGCCAAGTAAGGTTTATATATCTGTGGAATGTCCAGAGGATTCTTGATCCACAAATTCACTATCCGCAGCTTGAAAATACTATTTTTAAATCCAAAAAGGAAAATTTCATTTTGCCATTTTATATAAGGGGCACCAATTTATTATTCCATTATATGTACACAATGTTTTTTGGACTTGAGCATCCATAGGTTTTAATATCTGCAGGGGGTCTTGGAACTAAAACCCAGTAGATACCAAGGTCTCATTGAACATTCATCTTATATACATGGAGACTCTTCTAAATGGTGACCAAAGAGTACTGTTACTGCCTTCTTCTTCTGGAAGTTTTTCCTAATCACTGTTTTTTTAGTGTTTGCAGCCTTAATTGTATTTGTTACTTTTCAATTTATTTTATTTTTAACCCTCTGAACCACACAAATAAATATTCCTTTATTAGAACAGTAAAGCCAAATGAACTAAATATTCACACTATTCTATAATCATTCTACTCATGAAAACTGAATCCTTCCGGGACTTAATTACTTGAGGGCAGGAAACAAACCCACTTCTTTGAATACCTTTCGAAACATACAAGCGATTTTTGGAAAAATGTATCAAGACACCATATCTATAGTTGTGAATAAATTAAATGTGCAGTGACAGTTCTTCATAGCTGGGGGAAAGATACTGTCATTATCACTATGCCATTATTTAAATGCTATTTTGGAACTCAAGAGATTCCCCGTATCTCTGTCCCTTCTCAAAAAGGCTACTGTTGATGTTTGGAAGCAAGTATGTATTTTAGTAAGCAGTACAGGCTTTCAATCAGATCTCTAGAGTGAAGTACTTGACTTCTCTGAAAGCCTTTTCCATATTTATGTACCTTCTGGTAATGTAAAGCCTTTGGCTCTGAAGCTGTCTGATGCCCAGTGCTAGCCATCTCCGATAATTTCTGTTCAAAAGACTATTAATGGCAAAGCATTGCCCAAATTATGTTTTTGAAGGTTATAAGAAGGAGACCTTGAGAAACATGGCTTTTAGTAAGAACAAGACAAGCTGGCAGTCATTCCAAACTGTCATCTCTAATTCCCACATTTAAGTTCACCATGCAGAGCTGAAATAAGTCAGTCACAAATTAAATTACTTTCTACTTATTATCACAACAGGGCTTCGGCAACACTTTTTGTAATTGACATATACCACCATCTACCCATTAAGGAAACCATTGCTCTTAGATTTTATCATCTTTCCTATTAAGGTACTGCTTTAGCCTATAAGTGATGGCTAGAGGAGAAATAAATGTTAACTGAACAAAAATTAGTTTCTGCTTGCTTTGAGCAAATAAATTTAGACAGGCTGTTACACCAAATGGTAAAACACTGAACTGGGGCAGATCTAACAACATACTCACCTATTTCACTACCACTACCACCATCCTGAACACTCCATAAGATGATGCTGCTCTCAGATGCAACAGCCACCATTTTATCTTTATCTCCATGTGGTCCACCAACAACCTTTGCATTTAATGCCACACGCTCAATAGTCCAATCTAAGTATGGACTGGTGAATACTTGTTGCCATCCAGAGGATTCTTTAATTCTAGGGAAAATAAGTATATATTACAAATATGTTTCTGCAAGGCAAGCTTTTCAAAATATGGCTGAACTTCAGAAAGAATCATTTATTCCAATTTCTAGATCAGAGGAGGGGAGCCTCAAGTCCTTAAGAGGTTTACTCTGTAATTCCCACAATACTTTTATCACTATGCTGACTTGGGCTTCTGGGTGTTGGAACTGAGAAATATCTGAAAGACAAACACTCTCTAGTCCTTGTTCTAGGGAACAGATTACAAATGCATAACATGTCATAATATTCTATCAATTAATATGGGGAGGGCTAAGACTCTGGAGATCATGATCTGAATTCCTGTTCAGACACTGAAACGCACTTAGGACATGTCACTCTCTCTCAGGTCCAGAGAAGGGCAAAGACAAACCCGCTCTGAACACATCTTGCTAAAAAAAACCCAACTCATGACAGGTTCATATTAGGGTTGCCTTAAATCAGAAATGACTTGAAAGTATACAACAACATGCCTATATAAGGAGAGAGATTTTATCCTTGATAGGCAAAACCGAAATACTATTGAGCACCAACAAAGTACTATCTAGATAAGTGCTATAATACATAATGGAGTTCTGATTTTATCTGCTTCTTGTTGTTTATTTGTTCAGTCGCTTCCGACTCTTTGTGACCTCATATACATATTTTTTAGAGCAATTAAGTGAAATTTCTCTAATTCTCTAACAGATAGACAGGAAATTTTCATACATGTTCACAATTCTCAGCAAATTAAAGTGGCATAGGATATTATTAATGTCTAGATACTGTAGAAAGACTAAAAATGACACATCATGCTTGCAGGCATACAAACTGTTATAATATTGTACAAAAGAGATGATTAAAAAGAGAGAAGCTTGTCACCAGTTTTCGAAGTTTCATAATAGCTCCTTATACCTGGAACACACATTATTATGTGAGATGGGTCAAAAAATAGGTGTTTCTCAGTCAAGCTACTGACAGTCCTACTGACAGTCCATTTGGCCCTCTGCTAGGGCCAAATGGAATGGCTGCTAATAAATAATTCAAGGGAGAGAAGGATCCAAATGGGAGTTAGCACCAGTTAAGTCAATGGAACTAGATGTACCATCTCATACTGCTGAAGCCGGGAAAAAAAACCTGAATGCTCATGTACCAAGGCAGGAGCTGTGTTCTGTTGCAAAACCATACAAAACTAGATCTACATCATAGGTATTCTGAAATACTGACACATAAAAAGTTGTAAACAATTTCTGCAAATTTATTTATTTTATTTATTTCATACGCTTCTATCCTGCCCTTCTCCCCACAAGGGGGACTCAGGGCAGCCTCACATAGGCATCAGCAATGCTTACAACATATACATCATAAGAATAACAGTTAAAACAGTAAAAACATTTTAAAACATTGTACAAATCAACCAATAAATTGCAGAAGCAAGCAAAAAAAAAATGCCAGGAAAAACAACTATCCTACTCACTTGGATTTTTTATTTTATTTTTGCTATTGGGATACTTTTTGTTACAAACAAAACACGTACCTTTCTATTTTTCAGTAAAACAAGATGTAAGAAAGTAGAGGTAACTCATAGTAAGTCAGAATTTGCATATTTGCAGAAAATCTTGTAATTTGTTTCAAACAAATCAAACTGGACTTGTTTATCAGCCAAAATTGAATTATACCCCAAGATTTAGGGAAGCAGTTTCCCTGTTCTTGAATTGAGGGACTATTGTTTCTATTAGAGTACCCAGTTGAAATAACATGCCCCAAAGACTGCCATTATTTTTACACTGATTAACATTTTAACAAAACATAAGTAATCACTTCACAATGTTAAGTTATTCCTCAAATAACAGCATCGGCCTGTTCTTATGTAGCCAGAGAAGCACACCTCACTGCCAGCACAACACAACGATTTATACAGGTTGCAGCAAAAATCCTGCATTGCATCTAAATTGGATTATTCCATACAATGAAACATCCATGCTAACATTTCTCCTGCAGAACAGAACACGTTAAAATATTACACAATATGAAAAGCAGCATTGGCAATTCTGTATTTACCTGTAACAAACTGCAAAGTGAGCATATGCAGCTACAATCCAGTTATGATGACCAGCCACTATCAAAACTTTCCGTGGATCCACAGGAAACCCTTATAAAACAACAATACAGCAGAGGTATGTTATCATGGATCATTAGCTTTTTTACCTAATCTTTACTACCATTGCAGTTGTACAGTCATGGCAACTACATTCTAAAGTTCTGGACATACTGTACAAATGTATTCGAAATGTGATACTATAGGACTAATCACAGTTAATCAGAACTCAAGCAACTGTCCATAAACATTAACTAAAATTGCATACTGCATTCACAAAGCCGTTTTTATAATACAATTAAACTGTGTCACATTAAGTTTTGTCTTCATTTCCTTTTAACTACTGCATTTCAATATTCAGGATGATGATGATGATGATAATTAACTTTATTTGTTACTCACATCTTCTCGCAGCTTGAGTTATGGAACAGCGTTCATGGAATGGTACAGTATGGAGTATAATATTAGTCAGGCCTACTTTTAATAGTAAGTTTCAAGCAACCAGAAACTACATTTATCTGGCATCCACCAATCCCAATGGTTAACTGAGTGTCTACTGCATTGTTTTTTGCTGTAGCAAACATCACAAGATTTTTTTAAAAAAATATTGCAACTGCACTAAAGAATTACGACAATTTTAATCACCTAGCCTAACTGCATCCTCTCCAGCACCAGCAAGTGAAGGCTGCATGTTTCCTCCACGTGCTTCTCCTTCTGGACCATTCTGAGGTGACCTAACATCAGCAGACACACCTGCAGAACTGCTGATCTTGCGACTTGGAATGCCTGCAACAAAAATGAAGACATTTGGCTTTACTGTCCTTTATTATTGTTGTTTATTTATACCCCACTTTTTCTCTCTGCAAGGAGTCTCAAAGCAGCTTACATTTAAAGCATTTCAGTACAATTTAAAATCTACAACAATACAAACATTAAAACATAATTAAATATCAATGGTATTAAAAATTCACAGTCAAAATGTAAACAAACATATTTGAAGTAAAAACCACAGCACTCCCCGACTTGATCTTAAAAAACTTCTTTAAAAGCCTGCCTGAATAGAAAGGTTTTAGCCTGCTGCCAGAAGGACAGCAGGGAGGGGGCTATTTTGGCTTCCCTGGCAGAGAGTTCCAGAGTCGAGAGACAGCCACTGAAAAGACCCTCTCTCATTCCCATCAACCAAGTTTGCGATAGAATAAGGTGATCTGAAGATCTCAGGATGTTACGGATTCACCAGCAATCAGAATAATATAGGACCTAGGACTGGGCCCTACATAAAGCAACTCATAACAGTAAAGTACTCAGAGTTAAAAAAAACAAACCAATGGAAAGAAACTTTACAATCTCTTCCCCCGAATTCTAAATACTGCTTCTAAGTAACAGAATTGGAAGGTGGGGAAAGGCTAGAATGGTACTGAGGTTGAAGTAGGATGCAGAGAAATCTTGACTATTAGACTAAGGTGTTGCCATACAATTTCTACCCTCAACAGTCCACTCTATACCTTTCCATGACATTTCACCAGAAGCTTGGTGAAAGTGTGGCATCCTTCACAATCCAATCCACCATTCTTTCAAATAAAAATATTGCCTACAATTCATCAGTTCTAAAATGCCATCAATTGTAAGGCATGCACTAATTTCAGTAACACTGACAGAAAAAAAGATTTTAGAGATGTTTATATGGGAAATGTGTGTTTTAGAACAGAGGAAATATAGTATATAATTTTGGTGTGCAGTGACTTATCAATATCAAGACAATAACAAGTCAGATAGTGAGAGCTTATCAATTGTAAGGGTTCTCACTGGATAGATCAGTCCATTCATCAGAACAACAGTGAATGACCGATGGCCCCCCATCTGTTGTTGGATTACAACTCCTCTTAATCCTACAGCGAATATCCAGGAGAGAATTATGAAGGAATAAAGGAGTAGCAATTCATCAACACCTGGAAGGTTAGTTTGCTCACCTCTCCCAAGTGCTGCTTGGGCTGGAAAAGAGGGGTAGAGAAGGAAGGACAGCTGATTTTCTTTCTCTGATTTTGGTAAGGGAAGAGTAATGGGGTGGGAGCACCTGTAGCCTCTGCCTCTTACTTCCTTTACAATGGGTCCTTATTCCAACATTTGAGTCAATCCAGCTAGTGGGTTGATTTTTTTGTTAATCCAAAGCCTAATAAACGTGGCATCCATTTGTTACAAAAAGAGAACAGAGCTTTTCTTTCCCCAGAGGATAGGAATCACCCACACACAACATGTATGTACCTGGAGGTGGAAGATATCCATGAAATAGGACACTGCCACAAGAGGAACGCTCCAGCTCTTCACATAAGAGCAATCTTCTTACTGAAAGGAAACAGCATGTATAGTGAGAACCAATTACATATATGCAAATGAAATATGGTTTAATCCACAATGCTTTGTATTTCCTTTATTGTCAAGTACAGAATCTAAAGATGAATGCAGGTACATGCTGAGCTCACTTTAGGGCTGAGCTCAAATGTCCCTTCCCATTTTGCTAAAATGAAGTGATAATGATAAATCATTACTATGGTGACTTCCATTCTCCAGAAAGGTCACCAAATCCATCTCCAACATTAAAATTTCAAATCATTAACAAGATCCTAAGAAGTCTAAAGTAGTTAAGGATTAAAATACACTTTATAATGTCGCAGTACACAGCAAACACCCTCCTAACTATCAATCTGAATCTCACCAATGAGACCCTTTTTGGAGGGATTTCTAAATTAGGGCATTGCAGTGCAAGTGACCCTGATCCACATTACACCCATGTATACATCCTTTTGTGGTAGGAATCAAAGGATGTGAAATTATGAGATTAGGGTATATCATGTGTAGCAAAAAGGGAAATCTGCCCTGAGAACAGGCAAGTTAATATTATCTTTCTTTCCCCCCACAACTGAACCAAATGTTATTGTCTGTAAATTTATGGTAAGCAAACAATATTGTTTACTACCATTTACTCTAAACAGAATTTAAATAGTTTTTGTTGTTGTTGTTGTGTGAACACCAGTTTTTTCTGGTTTACAAAAACCTTAAAGTGAACTCATCACCACATTTTCTTGGCAAGATTTACTGAGAGGAAGTTTGCCTTTGCCCCCCTCTGAGGCTGAGTGGGTTTCCATGGCTGAGCAGGGATTCAGACCCTGTTCTCCATAGTCCAACACTCAGACTACAACACTGAGCAAATTCAAACTACTGAAAATTAAAATGAGCATATTTACCTAAAGGTGTGATTCCATAAAATTCTGCTTCATGTCTGAGTACATTAATACTCACTCCCCTGCAAAAAAAATGAGCATGAATATTAATCACTAGCTCTATAGTTCAGGCATCAAAATTCCAAAGAAAAGCTAAATCTCTTATAAGAAATGGCAATTTTATATACAAGCAAAATACTTGATACAAGATACAACAGAAAACAGTTCTACAGGTTATCGACAAACAGAAAGTTCTACACAAACTTAATGCTGATTTACAAACATTCGACTTACAAACAACTCATAGTTAAGAACAGGGATGAGACAACAGGAAGTGAGATAAATCTACCTCTAGGAAGAGAAATTCACCCCTGAAAGAGTTATCATGGGGAAAAGGTGTCCCAACTGAAGCTTTATAACTGATCCTTGTTTCCATAACAAGCCATTTTTTTTTCAAAATCCAATTATCACAGGTACAGAAAGTGAGGTGAAGTCTTCTGAACAGGGGCACAGACAGCAAAACAGACACCACAGGCGTTTTATGTTATCCAAAGCTTTAGTTACAAAAAGTGTACCTGTTCTGACTTACATATAAATTCAACTTAAGGACAAACCTACAGAACTTACCTCGTCACAACTTGGGGACTGCCTGTAATTCTTAAATTTAAGCAGCAATTTTCTTAAAATGAGAACACGCCAGTTCCTATGTTGTGTAAACAATTTGTGGTATAGTCAGCATTATGACAGGCACAATGCAAAGCTTTCTCCTCCTCCTGAGATTCTCCTCCTGAAGGAGATTTCATCTGAACATGAGGAAGAACTTCCTGACTGTGAGAGCCATTCAGCAGTGGAACTCTCTGCCCTGGAGTGTGGTGGAGGCTCCTTCTTTGGAAGCTTTTCAACAGAGGTTGGATGGCCATCTGTCAGGGGTGCTTTGAATGCAATATTCCTGCTTCTTGGAAGGGGGTTGGACTGGATGGCCCATGAGGTCCCTTCCAACTCTATGATTCTATGATTCCTCTGTGCAGCCCTCAACACCAGCTGAAAAACAGCTGGGGTCTCTGATCCTTCGAAATACGTTTCAAGGGGACTGCAACAAGAGAGGGGAATTCACCCTACCTGAGACTGTATCTGACAGCATAATTAGAAAGGTTAGATCACCTGTCATTTGGATTGCATACTTTTTTCAGCAAGAAGTGTCAAAAACTAACAAATATTTCGTGTCTGACATTTTCATTGCTAGACTGAACTGCAAAATTTCTGATAGATGATAAAAAGGTTACAGGAGATGAGTAAATAAAAGGATTCACACACGAAGGTCAAAGGTTTAGGGAAGATCCTTAAAGCCTAGCTAGAATCCAGGGACCCTTCAGAATTTCTCTAGAAGTCCACATGAAGCATTTTTAAAGGTAATGTAATCTGTTCAACAACGGAACTTGTACAACTATTGCCATATTTTTGTGATGCTTTAGGGGAGCTTAAGAATTCAACAAATTCGTGAAGGATAAGGCTATCAATGGTTACAAGTCACATTAGGTATATATCAGCTTCGTTATGAAAGCAGTAAACCTCTTAATACCAGCTGCTACAAAAAAACAGGCAGGAATGTACTGTTACACTCCTGTTTTGCACACAAGTCATTTGACAACATGAAAGCTGCATTTACATTTCTATCCTACTTGTGGGCTTCAGATAGGCATCTGGTTGTGATGGGGACAAAATGTGTACTGCATAGACCTTTGGTCTGAACCAACAGGGATCCTATGTGTTTTAAATGACAGTGAAAATGAGAATTACTTACCGCAAATCTAATTCCTTTGTTCGAAGAAAATTTAAAATAGGTGCAAAGGCTGCAGGATCTCGATCAATAAATATCTATGAAAAAACAGAGCATAATTATTGTTTTGCAGTCATGTTTTAATCAAGAGAACATTTCTAACACAATATATATTCTAATTTGTTATTTTTTTTAAAAAAAATGCCAGTACTACACCTTACATACAGTGCTGAATACATACCATAATTGAATACAAAACTCTCTAAGTCTTTAAGAACAAGACTTTTAAAACTTTGCTAATTTTGATATGATAACTACTCTCACCACTAGCGGTTTCAGATATAATGCTTCATCCCTTAAAATCAACCTGTATAAAATCAAGAGCAAACTCTTCCCATTTACTTAGCGAATATTGTTCAGATATTCCAAAACATCATTTTCACAGAATTTAGAGCCCAGAAAAAATTCTACAGTATAGGCAAATGAGACCAGATTTTAGTTATATATATTTAAAATATATTACTTAACATTTATTTATTATTTATTGTAACTTTTGTTGATAGTTGAGAATGATGTCACCAGACCATCTGTTGAAGCACTCTTTTGTTTGGTGAGCTTGTTTTCTATTTGGGTCAGTTCGCTTTAATGTCTCCTGCAAATGTTTTGTTGTTTAAGCTATGCCACTAAACCAGAATTGCAAACCAGGACCTTTTACTACTACCTGCTATGTTTTACATTCATTTGTTAATCATAAAGCATTCTCATTTACATATATCAGGAAGTTCCAAGCTATGCTAAATCCAAACGAGCTACATTTAATGCTGGAATCAATTTGACTATTCTAAAATAAATAAATAAACTGAATACTCACAGCACCAGTTTCATCTTTCAGTGTTGAAATTCTTCCACTAAGCAAACTAAAAGTAAATAAACAAACAAGCAAATCAATTATTTTTAATTTGGTAGAAAACTAGAAAAGGATTCAAAGAAAAATGAATGAAGGCCATGGATTGTAAGCTAATTGTTCTACTTCTATAAGAACGGGGATTTTTTTGCAAATTCCTCTGTAATATCATCATCCCCCCTCCACACACATGAATGGCAAATTTTCCTCAAGCCCATGAAAATTTTTAAGAGGTAGAAGATGGCTGCAGAGTGGAAGAGGAGAATGTACTGAATCCATGTACTGAATAGTGTACTCCATGTACCCTAACTCTTCCCCTTGCTGAACTTCAGTCAGGATATGAGTCCAGCACAGAGAAAGCTCCTGAACACTGAGAGTAGCTATAGGAGATGACATAAGAGAGGTGACTTTCTCATCTTCAGAGAAACAGATTTGCCTGCCGCCCCTACATCCATGTTTTTCTACCCACTAATTCCCAAACCCACATCTATGGTTGAACTTTAATTTAGCAAGGAGAGTGAGGTGGCAGAGAGAAGATATTTTCAAGCATCATATTTCTATCACAAATCTTATATGGGGATATTTGCATAAAATAATTAGGAGGTTCAGAAATGATTAGGAATCACTTTCTTCTCGTCTTCCCCTAATTTTTTTTACAATTGTTTTCTCAGAAATGTGCGGAAGGACACATTTGATAAGATAACATATCATTTCAACGTACTATACTGACAAGTTTAAGACAGTATTTCTCAAATCCGAATTTATTACATCCAAGCTGGATATAATAACATGAAATTGACAGGCATCACTAGAAGACTTAAAAATAAGTTTTAAGATCCTAGAATCTACCTAACAAAAGCAAACAGCAAAAAGCAAAATCTATTAGCCAAACAATATTCCTAAAATGGAGATAAGCCTAAGAAAGAGTACCAGAGATTACCCCAGAGTTCGACAGATATAATGTAGACAATTCATGCAAGTGAATCAATATTCTATGTGATCACATTTAAGATCTATAGAAAATCCCCAAGTTACAAACATCCAACTCATAGTTAAGAATGGGAGTCAGACAACAGGAAATTAGAGAAATGCACCTCTCAGAAGGGAAATCCACTCCTGAAAGAGTTATCATGGGGAAAATATGTCTCCATTGAAGTTTTATTGCCAATCTTTGTTTCCACAACAAGCAGTTTTTTTTCCCTTCAAAATCCAATTATCACAGGGAAGGAAAGTGAGGTGAAATCTTTTGAACAATGACATGGACAGCAAAACAAACACCTCAGAACAAATCTTGCTGAGAAAACCCTGTGATAGGTTTGCCTTAGGGTTGCTATATGTTGAAAAATGACTTGGGAGACATACTACAAATTAAATCTGTTCACAATACCTGGAAAAGAAAGAGTCTGGAATCCACATTAGTGTTTGTCTTGAAGTGCTGAACCTGAAAATGAAAGGTAAAAAAGTATTGTAATTAGCAAGTTATTCTTTTCTTAATTAACTGACTTTGAATGTACATGGAATATTAATTCATAGGTCAATTTTTCAGGAATTGCAACTTGAAATACATCGATTTCATCAATACCCAAAAATTGTAAAATACAACTTATTTCATGATTTTTCCTGCAAATGAAAAAAAGCCATAAGCCACAATCCAGTTGCAATTAGTTGTGACACCCAACTGACAAAATAGGTCAATAATTTAAGTACTGATATGGTCCTTATTGCTTTTAGTTTGTATTTCTACTTAATAAATTTAAGTCTATTTAAAATACAATCTAAAGGTACAGTCTTAAATAAAACACACAAACCTTAGTAAAGGATAGTAGCATCCAGCGAAACATGAGGTTGCTATTGACCACTTGGAGGAAACATACTTAATTTGACTTTTCTAAATTAACTTACATTTATTAAGAAGAGTACTACTGGCTTAGAGCAATAGCCAAACAAACCATTCACATAGTAGTCAACTACATGCAATATAGAAAGTCACCTGTTAAGCCATGTAACATGACATTTTTCTCATGATTTCCCATCAAACTAGGTCATTTAATTTTAGTCTTTTAATTATTATTCATATGCAGAAATAATACAAAAATGAGCAGCACTAATTAAGAATATGAGTTATATTTTTGTTATTTATTATTGTCTCTCCCTATGACACAAGATAGATGTTCCTGTACTATACTAAATAGGATTTATTTTATGTCCTACTTTCTTCCCAGACTTGGGACTCAGGGTGATTTATAAAATATGTTTATTTGTTTAAAACTGATACAAATAAAAATTTACATCATACAAAAATTAAAATATACTTAATAAATAAAATACAATTTGAAAGCATAACAAAATATTTTAATTATAAACAAGACAAAATTTGAAAGCATAACTGTTCAATGCAACTAAGTTACAATGAAACCAAACTATATTCAAACAATACTGATAACATCAGAGTAATGATTAATTTGCAACCTCTGATGCAAAATGTTCTTTTTGACGTTAAGTATTTATTTAGCTTGAAAAGGTGAATTTCATAACATACTGTAACTAATTCTGGGGACTAAAAGTAAACAATATTTCAACCATTATCTTGTACAAAAATATTGTTTCTGTCAGTTAATGGAATTTTTTCAACAAATTCTACAACCTGAGTTACAATATGTTTGCCAAACTTTTTTTTACTAATGCACTTTTTAAAATAGGGCTTATACAAACTTAAAATAATGCTAAGATGTTCTAAATATTAACCAGGGGCACATCTACACTGACTACTTAATGTGGAAAGGACAAACACTGCATGGTTCTATTCCAGGTTAATGTGGGTCAAGGCCACCTTAACAAAGTCTTGACCCATGTTAACCAAAGTCGAAGAATACTCTGAATTGTAGAGCAGAATTCAGAGTATCTCTCAAACAGTTAGAGAGAACTGTTTTTACTCACATTCAGTATTTTCTGGGCTCAGGCAGCCCTGGGATAGCAAATATTGTCCCCTCCCCTGTTCTCTATATTGTGGCAGTCTCCAGTCGTGACATACGTCCTACTGGTCAGGCATCAGTTATAGTGACATTGATCAGGAAACAGGGGAAGGAATGGGGAGAGGACGGGGAAATTTCTTATACAAGGCTTCCTTGTCTTGGCTGTTTTATGTCACACATACATATTGTTTGTTTTATATAAACGGCTTGCTGAAGTGTGTTGACCTGGCCTTCTGTTTTATGGTGCTAGAACCCATTCTTATTCCTTCCACTGTATCTCTGCCTTCAGGAACAAATTTTCTGTTAAAAAAGTAAGGCACAGAAAGACATATGCTTTGTTAACTTAGGTGTGCTGTATGCATAAACGTAAGGCCAAATCCTAAAAGAAGTTAAGGAACTCTTCTAACTCTTTTTCCACCTGACAGCCACTGCAATTCTGGAAACCCCATCCTGTCCTTAATTTGGAAGGGGCTTGTGGAGTTGGAAAGGAGAGAATGGAATACAGAAACTTCCCTATACAAGATCACTAATGTGAACATATCTTAGGATTCAAACCAATGTTTTCTATTTAACTCTCCTGAAATTTAATAAAATTCCAACCTAACTAAACAATTATTTAGGAATTACAGGTAAATAACTATGTAGGTCACTTAACATGTTCATTTCTTCCCTCTTTTGCATCCTAAGTACAGTCTGGCATTATAGGAAAATATTATATTGGCCCACTGCATCCCTTTTCATGCATGCATTAATAACGCAATGAATACTGAATAACAAGCAATGCATAGTTTCTTTTTGTTTGTTTTTTAATTTTATACTACAACTCTATAGGGATTTTTTCATATCATTAATTTCCACTCCCTATCCATCTGTTGGAAATTAATCTAAGCCATATAGGCAAATTTATTTGGTCTTGTTTCAGGGAAATATATTGTAGGCCAAGATTATAATCCCATAGCCATATACCTTGGAATAATATTAATTTGGTCAAAGACATACTATTGGGCAATCACGTTTAAGATCACATTTGAAAAGTATGAGGTGGAAAACCATTTCAAGTTTCATCTAAATTTAAGAATTCCCTAAGGTATAATTCTTCAGCAATTAAAAGAAAATACTAGCTAAACTATTGTCTCCTGACCTCTGGTCTTTCAGGTGTTTTGGACTCCAGCTCCCAGAATCCCTGATCACTGCCCAAGGCAGACAAGGCTTCTGAGAGCTAAAGTTCAAAATACATAGAATATTAGAGTTTGGGAATCACTGAACAATTATCTTTCAACAGCAATGCTTTAGGAATTATAGATGCTCTTGCTTAAAACATTAAAATGACTCATCATAAATATCATTGTAATTCTTACATTTAGGTAGATCTTGTGATCTGTGAGGTTCAGTATAAAAAGGACTATTGTATCTCAAATTATTCCAGTTAATAAACCTTTAAAACACATGTCTACAGACTGGAGAAGGCTTTTATTGGTTACAAATCAAAGGTCAGAATGTCACAAGTAATTGGTTGTCCAATGCACCAGAAATCCGAAATACTGTTTGAGCCGGTTTCTCAACTGGCACCTAAGCATCTGATGAAACTTGGCCTTCAATTTTATTTTGGCCTCAAGAATGCCAGATATTTCTAAATAATGAAATAGGAACAATGTTTAAGTATTTTGACATGAACACACAGTTCTTCTGTACAATCATCCCACATAATTACACATATATTCCATTGTTTCTGCTGCCAATCAGCAAGAACAATGAGATAACTGACACTGGCTCTCAACATGAGACTGAATCCTCAAAGTAGGCCAAGCAGATGCTTTTAACAAGCAGGTTTTTTTCCTGTCATGTAACAAGGGCATGAATAGATAAATCACTATATCGCCTTAAAAAGTCAGCAATTTTTTCAAACTGAATAAACATAAATTCAAACCAGTTCATTTATAGTTATCTAAATTTCCAAATCTAACTTTTCTAAGTTATCCCATCCTGACGTTTTCCCCAAACAGATCTTTCTTAAGCTGCATTTTATCTGCTAACACAGAAGCTTATCTTGAGTATTATATAACACCAAAATCAGCATATTTTAGAAGTGTACACTTTCTGACTGTATACTGAGTACAGTGTATTCAAATTTGTGTAAAATTACCTTCAGGCTCTGTATTCAATAATATGAAATATCAATGAATTATGGTATTTAGATTTGGGTCCTATCTACAAGATATCTCATTATGTGTGTGTATATATATATATATATATATATATATATATATATATATATATGCAATACAGATATTCCAAAATCCAAAACACTTCTGGTCTCAGGCACTTTGGAAAGGGATATGCAACCTGCAATTGTTGTTGTTAAATGAATGGGCGACTTCCAAGTCACCCTATCATCAACAGGGCCGCAGCTTCCTTGATTGAGTCCATCCATGAGTCTTCCTCATTTCCTACTGCTTCATACTTTACGAAGTAACTACAAGCCCCAATTTACTACAATTTAAATGTGAATGCAGAGTACAGTATGCATTCTTCCGTACCTCATGACTCTAATAATTATTCAGAATTAAAGTAAACAATCTAAAGAAAGCCATACATTAAGGGACCTGATTTTCCTGCCTCTTTCAGTGTTGTTTCAGATGTGGTTTGACTGCAGCTCCCATTATCCCTCTCTATTTACTCTTCTAGCTAGGTCTGGTGGGATATGCAGACCAGCAATATCTGGAAAGCTACAAAGTGTTGTAGAGATATATGTGAAATAACGTGAACCACAATTCAAGATGGACATTGACAAGAGAAAATGTCTCTGGAAGAGGCAATCAAGTAGTAAGAGGCAGACCATCCCCATAATCAAGCACAATAACCTCTCCACAAGGCCCGGTCTCCTTCCTAAGGTCCCTGGGATTGCAGATAGGGAAGAGTATCCCTCACTGGGTACATCTACACCAGGCATGGGCCGAAGTTTGTGCAGTTGAAGTCCAAAACACCTGGAGGGCTGAAGGTTGCCCATGTCTGATCTACACTGTAGAATTGATGAAGCTTGAAAACACTTTAACTGCCATGGCCTCAAGAACTCTAGAGTTTGGACTTTAGAGAGGCACTAGCAATCTTTGGCAGCGGAGGCCAAAGACCTGGAAAAACTACAACTCCCATGATTCCATAGCATTGAGGAATTGTGGGAGTTGAAGTCCAAAACATTGGAAGGCCGAAGTTTGCCCATGCCTGGTTTAGTCGCACTTCAACTCCCACAATTCCTCAATGTTATGGAATCATGGGAGCTGTAGCTATGCAAATTTGAGGGCTATTGTTTCCCAAGGCCTTCAGCCTTTTCTGCCCAAGAGGGCTAGTGCTTGACCAAATTACAACTCCCAGGATTCCATAGCACTGAGCCATGGCAGTTAAAGTGGAGCCAAACTCAACCTTGGGAGTTGTCATTTGGAGAGGCACCAGCCATGGCAGTTAAAAAGAGGTGTCAACTGTATTTTTTCTATAGTGGGCTGTTAGTAATTGTGGGAATTGAAGTCCAAAACACCTCAAAGACTGAAGTTTGCCCAAGCCTGGTGTAGACACACCCAATGCTATGGAACCACAGGAGCTGTAGTTTTACAAAGCCTCTAGCCTTCTCTGCCAAGGAGTGCAAACTACAACTCCCAGGATTTGACAGCATGAGCCTTAAAGCCATGGGCCTTAAAGTGGCCAAACTGCATTAATTCTACAGTGTATCTCAGGTATGGGTAATCTTCGCCCCTCCAGGGGTTTTGGACTTCAACTCTGACAAAACCAGCTGCTAGGCATTGTAGAAGCTGTAGTTTTACAGGGCCTATAACCTTCTCTGTTAAGGAGTGCAAACTACAACTCCCAGGATTTGACAACATTGAGCCATGGGCCTTAAAGTAGCCAAACTGCATTAATTCTACAGTGTATCTCAGGCATGGGCAAACTCTGCCCCTCCAGGTGTTCTGGACTTCAACTCCTACAATTCCCACACTATCAGCTGCTAGGAATTGTAGAAGCTGTAGTTTTACAAAGCCTATAGCCTTCTCTGCTAAGGAGTGCAAACTACAACTCCCAGGATTTGACAGCATTGAGCTATGGGCTATAAAGTGGCCAAACTGCACTAATTCTGCAGTGTATCTCAGGCATTGGCAAACTTCGCCCCTCCAGGTGTTTTGGACTTCAACTCCCACAATTCCCACAATATCAACTGCTAGGAATTGTAGAAGCTGTAGTTTTACAAGGCCTGTGGCCTTCTCTGCTAAAGAGTGCAAACTACAACTCCTAGGATTTGACAACATTGAGCCATGGGCTTTAAAGAGGCCAAACTGCACTAATTCTGCAGTGTATCTCAGGCATGGGCAAACTTCGCCCCTCCAGGGGTTTGGACTTCAACTCTGACAATACCAACTGCTAGGAATTGTAGAAGCTGTAGTTTTACAAGACCTATAGTCTTCTCTGCTAAGGAGTGCAAACTACAACTCCCAGGATTTGACAGCATTGAGCCATGAGCCTTAAAGTAGCCAAACTGCATTAATTCTACAGTGTATCTCAGGCATGGGCAAACTTTGCCCCTCCAGGTGTTCTGGACTTCAACTCCCACAATATCAACTGCTAGGAATTGTAGAAGCTGTCGTTTTACAAGGCCTGTGGCCTTCTCTGCTAAAGAGTGCAAACTACAACTCCCAGGATTTGACAGCATTGAGCCATGGGCCTTAAAGTAGCCAAACTGCAATAATTCTGCAGTGTATCTCAGGCATGGGCAAACTTCGCCCCTCCAGGTGTTCTGGACTTCAACTCCCACAATTCCTAGCAGCCTACAAGCTGCTAGGAATTGTAGGAATTGAAGTCCAAAACACCTGGTGGGCCCAAGTTTGCCCATGCCTTATGCAGAGGCACCTTCCGCCTGCCTTCCCTTTCTGTCCAGGCCCTGCTTCGGCCAAAAAGAGGCCTGTCCTCGATGCCGACCCCTCCCCGCTGCCAGCCCCCTCCCACAGGGCTCCTTGCTCACCTGGTCCCCCCGACGTTGAGCTGGACGATCTCCCCGCTGCCCGCCCCGGCGAAGCCCGCGCCGTTGCCCGCCATCTTCCCCAGCAGCAGCAGCTCTGGCTCCGAGCACCGCCTGCCCTCCTCCTCCTCCGCCGCCACCGCCGCCCCGGAGCCGAGGGAGGGGAGGGGAGGAGGCGGCGGCGGCGCCGGGGAAGCGAAAGGCGCGTCCAGCGAGGCCGCCGCGCAGCCCCCCGCCGCAGGGACGCCCCTCCTCACGGAGGGCAAGCCTGCCAGGGCCGAGGCTCAGGCGAAGCGCGCGGGCCCAGAAGGCCGCGCCGCCGCCCACGCCAAGGCCCGCTGCTACTGCCGCCGCCGCCGCCTCCCGCCCTCCTCTTCCTGACTGAGGCCGCGGCTCTTCTCTGCGGGCCGCGAGGGGAGAAATGCCATAGCAACGCGCGGCACCTGGAGGAAGGGGCCCCGCGAGGGTCAAAATACCGACGCTGTGGCTGCGGCTTCGCGAGAGCGCGAGCGGGAAACGTCATCTGGCGGGAGAAGGGAATTGCACAAGAGCTGGCGCTGGCTTGGCCGCGGCGATGGGACGCCAGCTGTCTGTCTGTCTGTCTGTCTATCTATCTATCTATCTATCTATCTATCTATCTATCTATCTATCTATCTATCTATCTATCTATCTATCTATCTATCTATCTATCTGTTATTTACTGTATTTGTACACCGTCTTTCTCAGCCAATTGGCGACTCAAGGCAGTTTCCAACAAATCAGTATACAATAAACATATATATATATATATATATATATATATATATATATATATATATATATATATATTCTGTGCAATAATGAGTCCCACAAGAACCTAAAGAAACAATGAACGAAATCACACAAAATTTGGCAACAAAAGTCTCACAACCCAAGGAGTGACCATCACAAAAAAATTATGATTTTGTCATTTGGGAGTTGTAGTTGCTGGGATTTATAGTTCACCTACAATCGAAGAGCATTATGAACTCCACCAACAATGGAATTAAACCGAACTTGGCACACAGAACTCCCATGACCAATCATAGAATCAAAGAGTTGGAAGAGACCTCATGGGCCATCAGGTCCAACCCCCTGCCAAGAAGCAGGAATATTGCATTCAAATCACCCCTGACAGATGGCCATCCAGCCTCTGTTTAAAAGCTTCCAAAAAAGGAGCCCCCACCACACTCTGGGGCAGAGAGTTCCACTGCTGAACGGCTCTCACTGTCAGGAAGTTCTTCCTCATGTTCAGATGGAATCTCCTCCAGTTCTCTTGTAGTTTGAAGCCATTGTTCCGCGTCCTATGTCCCCAGTTATAACGCCATAAAACAACGCTTGCGTCCCTCCGTCCCTGTAGGCTTACCCTTCTCCTCATAGTAAGACATGCTATCTGTCTCCTCTCGCCTTCTCTCTTCAGGCTAACCAAGGGCCAGGGTCTCCTTAAGTTGGAGCTCCTCATAGGGCTGTGGTGTCTCCCAGACCCGTGATCAGTTTAGTCACCCGCCGCGGTACTCACATTCTGCAACTTAGCATAGCGTGCGCTTCTGAATGTGTATAGCCTGCCGAATTGTGGACTGCGAATCTTGGTTTCCGGGGTGTGGGCTAACCACAAGCAGAGAGAAGGGGTAAGCATGATACTTCCGCGAGGATCTAGCCACAGCAAGGCTCCGAGGGGTCATGTGGGCCCCAAACATTGCCGCGATGTGGTCGTGTGGCGCGGCCGGGCCCCATTGACAGGCTCACAGGGGGTGGCGTAGGGTTGTGAACGGTGCACTGGCTCCCACGAGCGAACGTGATTTCCAGAGCTCATAGTGTGTCACACAAGGCTGCTCAAGCCAGCGGCAGCAGCCCCAGATCCTGCTAGTCCGAGCTTGCGGTGTCACGGGGGGGGCCAGCCAAGGAAGGATCTGGCAGGCGGTTTCCAACAAATCAGTATACATAAAACATAATAGATAAAAAACATTAAACAGTATAAGACATCACAAAAGCAATAAAAGCAACATTACCTGCATCTCATTATTCTCAAGCATTGTCCAATTCCATTGTCAGGTCATTCGATTTCCTGTATTAGCTGCTCTGTATTTGTAAACGCTTGCTTGAATAGCCACATTTTAACTTGCCTCCAAAACGTCAAGAGGGAGGGAGCAGATCTGATCTCCCTAGGGAGGGCATTCCATAGCTGAGGGGCCACCACTGAGAAGGCCCTGTCTCTCGTCCCCGCTAAACGTGCTTGTGGCGAAGGCGGGACCAAGAGCAGGGCCTCCCCAGATGATCTTAAAAGTCCTCAGTGGTTCGTAAGGGGAGATACGTTTGGACAGGTAAGTTGGGCCAGAACGGTTTAGGGCTTTATAGGACAAAGCCAGCACTTTGAATCAATGAAGCGTTGGGTCCCCTAATTGGCGTTCCAGGGCGCATCATTGCGGGAGAAGATGCAGATCAAGAATAGGGCTCCACAGTCATCTACGGATCCACCACCGTACACTGATCTTGGAAGACAATCCTACTTGGACAACGAGGGATTGCCTAAGCAAGTAAAAAACCTTCATATCATACAGAAAAGCACTACAAGAATGGGGGCCAGTGGGTCATCAATATCCACTGAGATTTAGTTCTAGGATTTCCAGCAAACCAAAATCTGTGGCTACTCAAGTGACATTATATGCAATGGTGTAGTACAATTGTGTCCCTTTTATAAAAGGGCAAATCAAGATTTCCTTGAAAAACTATAGCAAAATGTGCTGCAGGATGTTTTGCAAAAACAAAGTTTTTGCAGTTTAATAAACTTTCCCCATGTTTCTATATTTTTTATTGTGTCAGAAGCAAATTGGAGTTGCTTCTGGTGTGAGAGAATGGGCCATCTGTAAAGACTGTCCAGGGGACATCCGGATGTGTTACAATCCCATGGGAGGCTTCTCTCATGTTCCTGCATGGGAAGCTGGAACTAACAGATGGAAGCTCACCCTGTCTCACGGATTCAAACTACCAACTTTCAGGTCAGCAGTTCACCTGGCACAACGGTTTTAACTCATTGCACCACCACGGCTCCTTATGTTTTAAGATACAACCATTTAAGAAATGACGTTTATAACCCAGGCACAAAAATCATGTTAAATAGTGTTATTTCTGCAAAAAAAAGTTTTTGTTCTTATAACTAATGTTGTATTGTCTCAAGTAGCTTCCCTCTTACAGCTACCTTAAAGCAAACCTATCATTGGGTATTATGGAGCTGAATAATACCATTACCAGTGCTGTCATTACTAAAAAAGAAAAGAAACGAAAACATATTTTGGAGCAGGGCTTTGCATAAAAACAAAAATGTGTGTATTATTTAATTTATATATTGTTCACATTCATACATTTCATGACACTTTTTATGTTTATGAAAGGCCTACGCAGATTTCATTTTAAAATGCCATTCCTAATACTTAATTGTAGCAACATTCTGCATGACAGTTCTTTTCACATAATGTTTTTTTTTTTTAAAAAAAAAATCTCTCATGCATTCTTAACATTTTGTTCTGCACTGACCAACATTGTTATTTTGGATTTCATGTCCTGCTATCTTGGTACATTCTTGCTTTTGGGGACAAATGTAAGGCTTTTAAAAAACATAATCTCCTAATTGAAGAAACCGACATTGCAACTTTTCTAGGCGGTAAGTCTTGTTAGACCATTGAAAGCTCAGATAGTACATTTAGGCATTTTTTGTCCTCAACGTTTTAGGAGATAATTTTGAAAATAAAGAATATAAATGTATTTATATATTATCTTTATACCCTGCCTTTCTCTACGCCGAAGGGGACTCAGAACCTTAAAACATATACTATTCTAACAACATTGAGATTAAATTAAATTCACTTCACTTCACTTTATTTCTTAATTAGTCGCTCTCCACCAAGGTGCTCCGAGCGACTTACAATCTAAAATAGCATTTACACAATATAAAAACATTCAACATAAAAACATTCAACAGTGACTATTTGGCAAATTAGATCCGATTACTTAAATGCACAACCAAACAGCCAAGTCTTGAGTGCCTTTACAAAATTAAGGTTGAAAAAATTACTTTTTGGACTACAGACCCCAGAAGTCCATAGTTAGCATTGATATGTGAACTGGGGGGGGGGGGGCTGTTCAGGGAGTTTTAGGAATTCTTCAGGAAGAATATAATCCAGGGACCCCCTCTGCCTACTTGCCCATACGTCCCTGATTCCTGATCTCAAGGACTGGAAAATCCCTCAAGGACAGTGTTTAGCTAGTGAAGTGTGAGGGAAGAAGATGATGAAAGGAAGGTTATAAGTCCCATTGCAACAGCTAGCATAATCCGGAATAAACCTAGTTTATTGTGTTCAGACTTGGTGGGATTTGTAAATCAACAGCAAACCGTGACCTAAAGCTAATTCATGTACCCACACTATTTTGGTGGGAAAAGCCCATTAGTATAGAGTATGATGAGCAATGTGGGTGTGAAAGACTACATGACTACTAGCATGCATTTGGCCTGTGTTGTAGTCCAACAAATCTGGATTCATAAAAGAAAGGAACAGCGCGATTATTCCTGTGCATATCAGAATATCTACTTATCCTAGATTGCTACCAATCTCTCTCTCTCTTTGGATAGTGGGAGAGACAACTCTGTCTGACAGAATATTAGTAAGACTTGTTCAAAAACAAGGGCACAGTCATATTAACGTATTTCATTGCTGGCTGCAATTATAAAATGTGTCCACTAGATGGGAGAATTGCACTGGGATTGTGAATAATTCCGGTTAATCTTTCTGAGGAAAATGCATGTATCAAAGATATATCTTCAAATGTTTCCATATCTTGCCAAATCTTTGTTAGTGGACCTTACATAATGAAATATATGCCCTGAGAGTGGGAAGCATTCTTTCTTCAGCTTCCCAGAGAGTCAATACTTCTAGGAAGAGTCTTCATATTCAAATTTTCATGCAGAAAATTCAGTTTGGAAGTTTCTTGCAACACATTACTTTTTTTCTGGGCCCAAGCACATAATGGCATTTCTTTTTCCAAAGCATGTCTAGAACAGTGTGTACTTCTTACTTTTTATGTTACATTTAGATATAGAAATAGTTTGTTAGATATTTTAGGCAATTTTATTACATTTAAATATGGATATTTTTTTTCAAAGAATGAAGAAAACAACAAACAGCATAATGAATGATGGAACCAGGCATGTGGGGGGGGGGGGGGCTTGAGGGGTTCAGCCCCCCCCCGAAAATTCTCATGGTGGTTCGCGAAAAGGCCTTACTGGTGCATTATTTA